TTTTTTTTTTTTGTTTTGTTTTGTTTTGTTTTGCTATCAATCGGTTTTTTAGCGAATAAATAATTTCTCACCTTCTTTACACAGTCTTGATAATAACAGAGCTTTTTTGCAAGAAATTTAACACAAAAAGAGATACGTATTTGTGCATAGATTATTTTTCTTGTTGTACTTTTCTCTAAAAAATAATATCAATAAAAATACTTTGTTCTTCATTCTCATTCTTAGTAATGCTAAAGAAAAATGACAGTTATATTCACTCGGAACCGAAAAAATACACACACACACACACACAAAAATCAAGGCGATACGGTTAAAGATAGATACTTAAAAGAAATAAGAAAAACACATGTTTGTATTATGTACACATCGAAACACGCGAACAGACAGTAGACCGTCAATTTTTTAAAAAATAGTAGCTCTTCCATTTGTTTTGTTTTTTTGATTCATCAAACATTTAGAATATCTATGTACACCAAAATCTTGTGATTGTAAATATTTTCACATTGTGTCATTTTATGTCATAGTTTTTAGTCATCTTTTTCCTCGTCATCAGTTGAATTAGATGTTTGTAATGAAGAATTTTCAGATAAATTTTCATTTAAATCACCATTATTCGTTGTAGATAAATCTGGTGATTGTTGATGTGGTAATACATCATGTTTTGTGTATGTTTCATCATTGCCATCTTCACTATCACTCGGTTCATTATCGCTATCTTCACTATCACTTCGTTCATCTTTTTCAACCTAAAATAAAGATCAAATAAAATGGTTGAAATAAAGAATAATAGTTTTTCTCTAGAAATGTTTAATGAAACTATTGAAAAAAAAAATGTTTTTCTCAACAATTTACAAAGTGAACGAACGTTTAACGTTAGCCATTCAACTGTCAAAAACAGATATATTTCTATTAAAATAGTATATCAAAGTAAAAAAATAGCATAATGATAATAATACGATACTTAACAGTCTAATCAAAGAATTTGAGTATATCTATATGTTCTAATAAATGCTACAAGTCATAGATAAACTATTTTACACATTCACAGGTTTAATCTATAGATATATGACAAGAAATTTTCACTAAATTTAGACATAAAATAAGTCAAGAGCAAGTGAGATAGCATTAAAATTGAGAAAGGCAATGATTCAAAGAATAACTTTATCATTATCGCATGAGTTAACTAGTAAGTCATATTTTCCAATAAATGTGTATGAATAGAAAAATAAAAAATATAATCCTATTTATTTCTGCATAAATTAATATTAGTCCTACTAATCTGATAAAAGAAATAGACTTTTTTCACAAATATCAGAAACACTGTTAAACGATTTATCATATACTTTCTATGTATATTTTTAAAATTCTATTCTTTTAATACGAGAATAGCGACAAAATTGGCACAATATATATATATATATATATGTATATAGATAATAATTTGAGATAGATGAAAAATAACTTTGTTTTTTCCCTCTAAACACATACAGAACAAAAAAAAGAGG